CACCAGTCGACTCTTCACATACTGCAAATCTAATAAAGCTTTCTTAGACAATGACTATTGCTTTATTTTCTTCATTAACATAGCGTATGAGAAGTTTAGTCTTCTAACATTAACTTCTTTAACATCCAAGCTCTTTGTCTTTCTTTGATGCTTCCGGAAATTTTTGGCTACAAATCTCTACAAAGGATGAAGTTAATGAATATGTGACAATACTAGATGAAAAAGTTAAACCGCACATCAGAAGGTTACTCGCATTATCTTTCTCTGTCTCACTACATGTTTTTAAGGAGTTGAAAAAAGAAAATAATGTGTTAGATTTGGCACTTTAATTAAAACAGCTTCATAGGCTGCTTGAGATTACTTGGCTAATTTTTTTCTTTGAGCACCTGACAGTTTTTTCAACATCTTCAATAAAATAATATTTAAATTCAAATTAACAGTGTACAACTTTTTTTTTGTTTCAGGAAATATAAATTCTCCGTGTATGTTTTTAACTCATCATTAAGGTCACTACTGAATACAATTTGCAACTCTTTTTATTATAACATTTTTATTAACTTACTTGTTGTCGGTTTATTTACTGTGTGTGTGTGTGTGTGTGTGTGTGTGTATGGATGCGTGCGGTGCGGCCGTGGCGCAGTGGTTAGAGCGCTTGCTTTATAGGCAGGAGATCCAGGTTCGAAAAGAGCTTTGGACTTTTTTCGCGTCACGGTAATGAAGTAGGGGTGAACTTCCTGGTTAAATACATTTTCGCGGTGCTCTGTGATAAGACCGTTAGTACTTCTTAGGGCACCTAAATAACAAATTAATATATATATACATATATATATATATATATATATATATATATATATATATATATATATATATATATATATATATATATATATATATATATATATATATATATATATATATTGAAAACATATATTTACGCTAAAGGATGTTAAAAAACAATCTAAAACTACACCTTAGGGGTCGTCCATAAAGTGCGTACGCCAAATATTTGTCCCCCTCCCCCTCATTCTCTGTTGCCAAGCGTACTTTTAGGTCCCCCGTCACCCTTAAAAAGTACGTACGCTTTTAAAATACCCCCACCCCTACTTTTTTTTTAAATAAAAAAGTTTATTGAAAAAAAAAGATATGTGTGTGTGTGTGGGTGGAAGGGGGGATTACCTTAGATACTTTATACGACCCCAAAACCCTTGGTTTTGGCATAGGATCCTAATTTAAAAGACATATATGTACTTAGTTACAAAACTTAAATAAATTTATAAGACATATATGCACTTAGTTATAAAGCAGTTATAAATACAGTTTTGTATATAAAACACTTTTTTATTTTTCATGTTATTGCTTATATTGTGGATGGCAAATAAAAGGAATGTAGTCAGGAATATAAGAAGAAAAACAATTTTTAGTTGTTTTTTTTAATTTTAGGTGCCCCAAGAAGCCCTAACAGTCTTATCACAAAGCACCGTGCATGAAAATTTAATTGGAAGTTCACGCCTCCTTCCTAACCGATGCGCCCAGAGGTGGGGTTTAAACTACGGATCATTTGTTTCTGAGGCAAGTGCACAACCACTGCTCCATGGCTGCTCATTCAAATTCAAAAAAACAACATACAATCTTAAAGAAAAAGGTTCTTTCAGCAGAATAAAATATCAACAATAAACCTTGTCAAGTTTCGTTTTTGCCGAAGGAAAATCTAATCCATCTACAAGTTCTTCAAAATTGAATAAATTGATATGCAAACTCTCAGTTATTAATTCTGAGTTATTAATATAAAATCATCTTAAGTAAATGTGAGATCACTGATTGAATATGGTGAACTGGGAAAAGGACATGAAACACTCAAAACTTTTGCAACCATCAGGGGCGGGTTTTGTCACTTGCAAAGGAGGGAGCTAAAAAGGTCTTTTTAAAAAAAAAAAAGTCCGCATATTTTCATCTATAAGTAACTTTCTTTTTTAATTTTTTGTAGTTAAAAGAAATAATCAAGTATATATTCGTATAATTACGTATAATAGTCTATTTCATTTGTTAGAATAATAGTCCAATTCACTACAATAGTCAATTTATATCTGAATAAAAAGTCCCAAGAAGAATAAAGGATTTGTAAAAGATGTTCAAATTAGATGAATCGAAAAGGAACTACTGAGCACGATAAATGAATTCAAACATATAAGTGTAAGTTAAACCATGCCCAAAAATCAGAAGCAATGGAATCTGCTGGTGCAATGAAAATATTTTCTTCAATTATTGAAAAATATAGTATTCGCTACTCTTATTACATTAGTGATAGTGACACTGAATCTTTTAAAAGAGTAAAAGAATAAAAGCCATATGGTGAAGATTTAGAACCATTATTATTATTTTTTTAATGTATTTATTTCCTTTGCCGTTTAATAAAATTTACAATAAAAAAGATCGTACACGTAAAATAAATGGCCGGAGCAAGAAGAAGACGTATATTATCTTATCGCCGAGCCCCGTTTACATTGACGCCTTCAGTTTATGTAACAAGTTAAAATTAAAAATTAAAAATTTACAGGTTGAAAATTATATAGTTCAACCATATAAGCCTCCTATAGGAATTATATGATTTATATAGGATTACACTGTAAACACAATAGCAGTTTTACTCATCCTAATTGAATCCAATAGGAACTAAAGAATTGCAATTGTATTCCTATAGGTATCATATTGGTCTTATAGGAACCCTATAGCAGTTATGGGATATATATATATATATATATATATATATATATATATATATATATATATATATATATATATATATATATATATATATATATATATATATATATATATATATATATATATATATATATATATATATATATATATATATATGAATCCAAGGTCGGTGCGATAGGGGTGTGTGGGAGTGTGTGACGTGCGCGGTACTTCCAGGGACATGGTGGGAGTCGAACTCGGAACCTTTCGCTTACAAAGCGAGCGCTCTTACCACTACACCACTACCGCATATATGAATCCTATAGGACCTATGGGATTATAATAGAATTCCTCTAGAACCTATAGGAATAATATTAGTCCTATAGCAATCCTATAAGACCTATAAGATTACAATAGGATTCCTATTGCAGTGCCATAGGCCCTATAGGTTTCCTATAAAATCTATAGGGTACCTTAAGATCCTAACGGAATCCTGTAAGAACTATAGAATTGCTAAAGGATTCTATAAGATTTTTTGATATGATTTTCACCAAAATTCTTTTGCTTGTTGTAATGGTAAGAAAAGTACTGTTTTGTACACTATTAAAAAAGGAGTACTGACTGTTGTGACACTGTACAGGTATTGAAAATTCTGAAATGCTTCGTTTTGTCCCCGCACTGATAATAGTAATTACTAGAAAAAGATCATGCAGTACAAACCGTCAGTTAGTTTACCAATTGCAGTAAAAAATGCAATCTATCCTATTTTTGAGGATTTATATAATGATGATTTTTTAAGTCACTGTTTAGATAGATCTACTCAAAACCTAAATGAGGCTCTGAATCAAATCGTGTGGAAAAGATGACGAAAATACATTTTTTCCACCCAAATATGAAATTAGCTTTGCATCTGCAATAATAATTTTAATGGTATATCTTAACTAGTACAACTTTTTGATAAGATTTGAGCGTCTTTTAGAGCAAAACAATATTCGGTTTAACCTAAAGAGGCACTCTACGGATTCAAAAAATGAACAAAAGCGGGTATGGATAGAAAAAAGTTGATTAGAGCTGTTAGAAAAGATTATTTGGTAAAAGAAAAAGAACTAGGCTAAATTATCTACGCAAAATATAAAAATTAAGACCATTTTAAAATGGTTGATCAGTTTTTAAAACTTTTGCTTTAGGCACTAGTTAAGCATATATTGTCTTACTGTAACAAATTTCATACTGATACCAGTTGTATCAGTATGAAATTTGAAAGATTCTAATTAAAACATGATTAGATCTTCAACTAATCTGAAGATCTAATCAAAACATGATTAGATCTTCAACTAATCATGTTTTGCTTTTTAGTTGTTTACTGACTCATCGAAAAATAGTTTTTTTGTTTGAAATATAAGTATGTATTTATTTCGGTATCAAATAAATATTAAAGAAAATAGTTTTTTTTACAAGCTTTCCCTTTTAAAAAAGAAATAATGAAAATTTTTAAATAATTTTTTTAAACCAGGAAATACTATCCTAATTTCATAATAAATATTAAAAACTTTAAAGTTGGATAAATTTTGAAATGTAAGTAAAATACTATTTCCGTTTGGTGACGCATGAAGCGGCACGTTGTCCCTCCGAGATATATTCACTCCTTCATGTTTGCCGACTGCGGATGTGATTTACATATTGCGAAGTTGAGGTCCGTCGCGTTTTCTGACTCGGGTCTATAACGGTTAAGTAAATTAAGATATATCTTCCATATAGCCTACATGCAGGGACCGACTAAAATAGGGAAGAGCGCAGTGAGTTTAAATACATCGACTGAGGTTTCACTATTTTGGACCTGAAGGACGTCGGAATAGGAGTTGGACAAGAGACTGAAAATCGTTTTAAATTAAAACCATTAATTCAAAACGAATGCAGAAGATTGAAAATTAAGTCTAATCACCGTTAACGCAAAACAAATATTTAGAGATCAAATCTCTTTTCAGTTAAAAAAAATTCTGTATGACTCGTACTTATCACAAAGCAAAAAACAATATTTAAAGTCACTTCTAAAAAAAAAAAGAGAAAATATAAAATATTGACAAAACTAAATTTAAAATATTTGAGTTTAAAATTTGTCATGTAAAATTTTTCTACCAAATCATTCAGGCAAATAAATATTTGTACATATTAACATAAACTAATGATTTTACATATATTATAAAAAGGTTAAAAAGCGTGACTACTTTTAGTTAAATAAAATCAATAAGAAATTTATTAGTAGCAATAACGAAATTCTGGAAGAAAAAAATATAATCGAATTAAATCAGTTAATGATATTCTGTAATTTAAATAATTTAATTATTATAAAACATATCAAAGCCTTTTTAATGCTCGTTTTTTTTCCATTTTTTTCTTGTCTAATTTTTCTGCAACTCTTTTTTTATTATTACTATCAGTTGATTTGCTGAGATCGTTTTCTTTAATTTCTTTTACTGGCTTCGCATAAATTTCTGTAATCATTTTTGCTTGTTTTGAATATTCAGCATATTGTTCAAGTAATAACTTGCCAGCTTCTTCGTTAAGAGCTGATTCAGGATTGGGATATATGAGTAAACACTTCACCGTCTAAAAAACAAAGGAGAAACTTTCAGACTTCCAAAGACAAAATTTCATTTATCTCAAAAGTGGAAATGTATGACGCGCTTTTTTCCCGCTGTAATCTTCACACACACACACACACACACACATATATATATAAATATATATATATATATATATATATATATATATATATATATATATATACATATATATAAATATATATAAATATATATATATATATAAATAAAGTAAATTATAAATATAAATAAAAATAATTATTACAAAAAAGGAACGTGTTGCCTTAGAAGCACTAAAGAATAACAACAAAATAATCATCCAATCTACTGATAAAGGAGGCTGTTTAGTACTAATGGATGCAGATTACTATAGAGATAAACTTGTGTAATAAGACCACTTATTAACTGAAACATGTAAAAAAGTTGATAGTAACACAAATGATATGTTTTAAGAAACTTAAAAATCACGAAGATAAGTTTAAAGAATGTTTAACACAAAAAGAAACTTCATATCTAAAAAACTATGAATGGAAAACTAGCAATTTTTATGTGTTACCAAAAATTCACAAATCTAATGTAATAGAAAACTTTATAAAAGAATCTAATAAAGAATATATTGAATGATTATGTCCAAATGATCTAAACGAAAGACCAATAGTAGGAGGTTCTTGTTCACTGACACAACGCCTTAGTGAACTCGTTGAAAAAATCTTATCAACTCTTGTAACGAAATTAACAACATATATCAAAGATAAGCATTTTATTAGAGTACTACCTAATAGTATGGAATACCAAAATGCCACTTTGTACAGCGTTGATATTTCTAACCTTTATACTGGTATTTCTCATGAACTAGGTTTAGAAGCAATTAAATTTTGGATAGTAGACTACGTGATGATATACCTAACAGATTTTCGGAGGTTTTTATTTTAGAAAGCGTGAATTTTATTTTAAAGAACAACAATTTTACTTTTAATAGAGTTTTTTAATCAATTAATCGAAACAGCTATGGGAACAAAAATGGCTCCACCGTATGTTTGTTTAGTAGTAGGATATCTTGAAGAAGTTAAATTATTTCCTAAAGTTTTATCAAATTTCTTCAATAAAATTGAATGCGAGAATATTCAAAAAAATTTCAAAAGTTTACTGAAAATGGTTTTGTCGCTTTATTTAAATCAATTAATGTTAATTTGCTTTTACATTAGCTAAACGGATAATTTGTTTTGTATCTAATCCATCAAAAATGGAAATCAGACTTCAATAACTAAAGCAATTTTTAGTTCAGAGCAATTAATTACCCAGTAAAAATCATTAATAATGGAATTTTTAAAGCTTGACTACAGGGTCCAGCACCTCAAAAAAGTGCTGGACCCTGTAGTCTATGTAGTGGATACATGGACCCTAGTCCATGTAATGGATGTGATGGAAAAACAACATACATTGGTAAAACTAATAATGTAAGGTTAAGAACTATCTACGCATCTACACCTGCAGAACAGGTAATGGTTCAGATAAATTTGATCAGCATGTTTTCAATTGCCATAAAAATGAACCTTTTTTAAAATTATTTCCTATGTTAAAACTTTCAAATGAGAATTTACTTCTTATTTATGAAGCTCACCTACATAAACAGGGACATGACGCAATGAACGTATAAATAGAAAGTAATTATTTTTACATTACTTTTAAAAAGATTTTCTTTCCAATAAAAATCAAATTATACTATATTATGATTAATTATATTTTTTTTATATAAACCTTATTTACTTCCTTTTTTAACTTTTTATAGGAAGTTCAATATAAAAAATTTTGATAGTTTTGTAAATCTCATACACAGCTGAAGATTTTATATGAAAGGCCTTCTGTGATAGAGAAAAATTTAAAATATTTGTTAAAAGTTAACTAATTAATATATTTGACTCATCTTAGTTTGAATAGTTTTTCTTTTGTTACCTGGAACTTTATATATATATATATATATATATATATATATATATATATATATATATATATATATATATATATATATATATATATATATATATATATATATATATATATCAGGGTGGCCAGGCAATTTTTGATTGAATTTTTCCCTGACTTATCGATATAAGATTAACAAATATAATATATATATAGCAATAAAAAGGCAACAAATAAAATCAAACAACTTTACACAAATAATATAATTTCTCTTAAAATATGTTTATTTTATAAATAAACAAAAACAAACAAAAAATAAAGTATGAAGTAAAAAAATAAAACAGAAAAATCAAGTCTACACAAATGTTACTATGTTGAAATTAAGAACCATAGAGACATATTATTATATATGGAGAATGACAGACGGCTTATTTCAGCATTAATAGCAACTTATTCGCTTTCAACATCTTTTACTATTCTAACAAAAAATGTAAGCACATTTATATAAGTACAATACAAACTACTAACTTTTCCAAATATTTAGGAATTAAAAGTATGAAAATAAACTCAAAACAAAAACACTATGTATATTTATAGAATTAGACTAACTGCTATATAAAAAAAAAAACTAGTGTTAGGTTTGAACTAAATTAACCAATAACATTTGACAAAATGAAAATTTTGCTCACATTCAAACATAGTCATTTCGCTTTTATGAAATAGATTAAAAAAGCAACTGCAACAAATTGCTTTACTGTCTGATCTTGACATAATATTGAAAAAATATTTTTGAAAAGTAAGAACCAATGCAGCTGCCATTATAAAATAACAATTATTTTTGTTGAGTTCAAAATGAGAATAATCATTAGAAAATAAAAATTCTATAAAACACCAACAGCAGTTGCAACCAACAAATAATTATATAGCATATAAAATAAGATTTTTAGTTTCTAATACAGAAAAATTTTTTGTTACTGAATCCATCAAAAACCTTGATTTTACCATGACTTTTGGATATAGTTAAGACTTTTCCAAGTTGCTGGCCACCCTGATATATATATATATATACAGGGCTCGAATTAAGTGATCAAGAATTGCAATATCCGAAAATATCTGTGGTCATTAAATTCTTAGTTTTTTAAAAAAAACCGCCAACACTGTTTTAATGAAACGGTCAGTTTATCATATTGCAAAATTTAATGAAAAAGAAAAACAATAAATTTACTACTGCAAAAATAATAACAGTCATAGTTTACATATTATTAGTTATATTTTATTTATTTATAATCCTTATATTATTATCATTTATTGCTTCTTAAACAATAATTAATAATATGTAATTTAAGGATTATAAATGAAAAAACCCATACCAAACCCTCAGTCGATGTAGCAGCACTCCACTGCGAGTCAGGCTATTTGTCAGTCGATGTATGTACTGAAGCCCACGGCAACAGGCTATTTGACGTTAGGTGAGTATGACATCATCATGCTCACCTAACTCAGCAGTATAAGATATATATATATATATATATATATATATATATATATATATATGTGTGTGTGTGTGTGTGTGTGTGGACCGTTTTAAAGATCTGTTTGAGGGGGACAAACAACCATTGTTTATTTTCTGACAAAATGAACAATCCATTAGCCCTCCATTAGCGGGCCTCAAGAATGGTACAAGGGGCAGCTATATCCGGCACCTATTTTGACTCTAGCAACTAAATATATAAATTTAATTTTTTAAAAAATCATCAAATCATGAAATATTGCATAATTAAAAAGATGTTTTTACAATAGGCAAACCAAAATAACAGGCCTAAAGAAAATAGTAATAAAAACTATAACACCATTATTTAAAATTTTTTTGATGGCATTCTTGTAATGAGTGTTCATCAACTAAAAAAGGGTTATTAAACCATCTTTTTGGGTATAACATTATAGTCATCCAGCAGCACAGTATGACTAGCCTCCTCAGAGTATTAAAACTATTTTATAATTATTACAAAAATCTTTGTTAGGATTATTTTAACAAAACCTTTTAAAGGCTTTATTTGCCACATACACAATATACCAAAATACACTTATTTACAATCAAAGTAGATGAAGTTAAAATTGTACTGAACAAAATAAAATTAAACTTTTTGTATTGAAATCAAGCAGAAACATGATATCAAATACAAATACTTTTAACTTAACAGAGACAAAGAAATGGTTATGTCAGGAATTATACACAATGCATGTGTAACACTGTTTACACAATGTTACACATGTTTTATGATTCTAAAAAAGTTACCATACTGTTAAAAAATGATTCTAAAAAAGTCGTTATACTGTAAAAAAAACAACCCACAAAGCAACTAGTTTTAACTTTATCACAATAAATTTATTTTTTTCAAATAAATCATTTCCACTACTATGTGCAAAATGACTCTTTAACTTTATAAAAAACTTTTATTTTATAAAAAATTACTCGTACTGAAAATAAAATAAAAACACTTTTAATAATCAAACTTAAAAACAAAAAAAAAAACAACAAAAAAAAAAAGCAGTTTTGTTAAATAAAAAAACAAATACAGTTTTATTAAAAACTACTTACAATAAGTATATGTTTTAAGCCAAGATCAGCATTCCAATCTTTTTTCAATGTATTGACACAAATTTCACCATTTTTGGCAACATTAGGATGGAAGATCTTTGTTAAAAAATAACCTAAATATAAATTTTTATTTTTTTTAAATCCTAGATTTTAGTGTGCCTCCTATATAATTAATGACACAATACTAAAAAAAAAATATAATAATACTACCATTATTTTAGTATTTAAAAAGAATTTAGTATATATATCAACTTGAGATGCATTTTTTACCATAACAGATCTCCCTACCTAGATAATCCTGTCTTATTGAACATGTGTTCTGAACCATAACATCATCAGCAATTAGTAAGTGATAGGGGATCCGGCCCCAGCAAATATATAGGATTTAGCAGGGGTTATACATACATACATATATTATACTCAATCCATATGTAAGGTTGCAATTTCCTATTATCATTATTTTTGCGCTCTTGAGGTAAAAAAAGAGTGTTTTAATTTTTCAGAAACAAAATAAATATAAAAACGAAGAATAATAAAAGAAAAGATTGCTGCTTTATGCCAAATACACACACTACTTCACTTCCAACAAAGTTGCAAGTAATCAATATTAAGTTATGAGTAACTAAAAAACAAAGAATAAGTTAAGGAAACATTTAACTGAATACTTAAAAAGTTGAATGAGTAAAGAAAGCACAAAAATGAGTGAGAGTTTGATGTGCATGAAAAGAACTAGATAAATAAAAAAAATTTAGAGCATAACGGGATGAATTTTGGTTGATTGAACTAGAGACGATGCCTCGTTTTAGTAGCCACCACGATAGTATTTGTAGAAAAAAAATAAAGAGATGCAACCTTACAACAATAAAAAGAATAGCTCAAGCTTGGGAGATAAATAGGCTATAAAACATTTACAATGTGCTTTTGGAAATTGTCTGTAAGTGAGAGGGTTGTTAAATGTCAATATAGGAATGTCAACAACGTTGTGATGTAGTAAATAACTTTTTTTGAAGCTAAAATCCACAAGTCACTGCAAGGCTTAAGCTGTTACAGAAACAAAATCAGATTATTCGCAAGATAAAGACTTTATTTAAAGACAAGAGTATCAAGTTGACTAGTCAGTATATAGAGCCACTTTAGATGTAAGATTATCAGAAGGATTGTTACAGTAGAAAAGAAACAATACAAAAGCAAAGATTGAACATTGCTGTACTCTTTAAGTTATTGGAACAGAAGAAAAGTGTGTTTCAAGAATGACTTAAATACTGCGGTTAAAAAAAAAAGATTTAATAATCTTAAAATTTTTATATAAAGAAACTAATAATATAGAAGACTAATCGTAGGATAGTTGAAGAGGTCAGTGTGTTTTCTAGAGCTTTTAAAAATCACCACCACTTATTTAACACTTTTGGTTACAACTGAAGTTTTATGAAAATTGAAGAGAGCTCTGGAGAACACTTTTGTAAGACTATGACGGAAGTGATATTTGCTCCAAAAGCCCAATATAAATTTAATTGAGAAATGAATTTAGCATCAGAAGGTAGAATGATTTGGATGTCTAACAATGGGTTAATTTGTTCAACTGGAATGACAGTAAGTGTGTGGTCGTTAGAGTCAAATTATAGAAATAGTTTTTTTCAAATTCAAGAGAAGTAATAAGATCAGACCCATGAATTAAAGATTTGACAAAAATATTTTTATCTCATTTAAGGCTATAATATGCATATTTAACCGGTCAAATTTCTGATTGTAAGTAACCTTGGTTACTTACAATCAGCAATGTTTCATGTGTATCCAGGTATGCAGTATATTATTTATCATGGTGTCAGCTAGCTTGATAGCACTGCATATAATGCGAAACTACCAATTGGTTTAAAATTCACAAAAGTTCCCAAAAATCATAGCAGGAAAAAAAAAAAAAAAAAAAAAAAACCTTATACAAGGCTCAAATTTAAAGTGTACATAGAAAATATAGTTTATACTCAAAATTAAAAAAACTAGAAAGAAAAAAAAAAAAATCTCAAACTGTCAGGGGACCGAGAAAAAAAGTTTGAGATACCAAGGGTTCAAGATATCGAGAGGATTTTGACTCAAACAATTGTGCAAGGGACCAAAAATAAAGTTTGAGTAGTCCAGATATCAAGAGTTAACTGTATATAATTTAAGTTTATCACTTAAAAACTCTTTATTTGCATTTTTACTGTTGTTTATATTAATATAGGAAAATTACAAAAATCTTTGCATAATAAATATTTTAAAAATGACATTAGTGAAGGTATCATTTATGAATATTCTTTAAAATATCTTAATAATGCTTTTTATAAAGTTAATCAAATTAAATAAACTAAATTTGCCAATAAACTGAAAATAATTGTTGAACTAAATTTGCCAGTGAAGTAAACTAAAAATAACTTTTAAACTAAATTTTCTAATAAAGTAAACTGAAAATAACAACATAAAAAAATTGAAAATGAAACAGGCAATGAGATGTATTGTTTGTGTTTTACAAGCATAAAACATAAAAAAAGTATATCATATTTACATAAATTTTTATAGGTTTTTTTCTTTTAAAAATTACAAACACAAAAGTTATTAGATATTGAAATTTGAAACTTCGATTTATTTGCCGCCCTTGCACGATGAACAAATCATAATGCACCTTAAACACCATTGTTGCTTATTTAAAATAATTTCAAAACAGCATATTGCAATGAAAGCTCTTTTAACTAACATATTTGACCGAAATTTGAGAGCCAAGCCAATTGCTTATCTGAAAGCTATTGAGGTATTAGTTTAAATAAGTCTTTTTACTTATTGCTGATGTTTTAAAGCACAATACTAATGTATTGTGTTTTGAATATATTTAATGCAACATTATCATATTTACAGAGATCATCTAGGTCATACTTAAATAATTCGAAAAATATTTTACAAAAAAAAAAAAAAAAAAAAAAAAATCCAGAAATTTTTACCCTCATATTTGTCTTTATTTTACTTTAAAGGGACTACACCAAGTCCCGAGACATGTTGTATTCATATTAAAGAAAATTAAAAAAACCAAATGTATACCAAGTAAAACAAATCTTGTTGTTTTAGTCGAAGCTCATCTTCTCCGTTTTCTCTGGTATTTTGAGTATGTAAAATAAACGCAATTTTCCAGGCGCATTATACAGACTTGATAATTTATTCAAGCGCGTTTAATTCATAGGAGTTTTAAAGCATGACATCATTGAAAACATTCTAGAAATTCTTTAAAAATTTTACTATTAAATTTTACTTAAATAGCTAACTATATTTACTTATTTTATTAAAAAGTAATTTTATTAATTGTTCGTTAGTTTTTTACAAATCTAACAAACAATTAATTAAACCAAGCACTAAGAAAAGATATAAAAATTAAGAATATACTAATAAAATATATCATTTGTAATTAACTTTCAAAATTTTGACAATTTAAAAAATATATATTATAAAACATTTATTTTTGTAAACAAATGATAATAGTTTAAAGGTTTTACGGCTTTACAGACGTGGCTCCGAGAATGAGCCATAATATTAAAGTAATAGTTCAAAATTCTTAAAACATTTCAACAGAATACTCTAGAACTTTATTTCGCTTAGTCAGTGTATTTTTTGAACCAATAGAGTTAGTTTGTTCGCAAATTTGGCGGGTTTTTAGTGTTCACGAATATTTGTGGATAAATAAAAATATAAATATTTTTATTTATCTGCAAGATGTTTTAAAAACATTCAAGTTAATTATGTTTCCGTAAAATAAAAATTAATATATATTAATTTTTTAATTTTTAAGCGCCCGCCATAATATATATTGGATGTTATAATGGAAATATAAATAATGAAATAAGATCACCTCAATACCAAAAAATACATTTTTGAAAATCAGAGAAAAAATGTGTAAATAATTTTTTTTTAATATTTACAAAGTAAATTAACAAAAGTGCATTATTATTTAGGTTAAAAATTATTTTATCTAATATTTTGAAAGAAAAACTTATAACAAAAGAAATCAAAATACACGTGGTCTAGATGATTATTTAAAAAAAGTTGCGCAAATAAAATACTAATTTGTTTTTAATTTTATTTTGCTTTTAATTTTGTTTTACAAACACATTTTAGAACTTTAAAATATAATAAAAATGAATATGATTTGGAAATTATATGTAAAAAATAACAATCAGTGTTTTAAACAAAAAAAAAAAATCTATGACATCATGCACTAAAACTCCTATGAATTAAATGCGCTTGATAAAATTATTAAGTCTGTATAATGCGCCTGGAAAATCGCGTTTATTTTACATACTCAAAATACCAGAGAAAACAGAGAAGACCAGCTTCGACTAAAACAACAAGATTTGTTTTTCTTGGTATACATTTGTTAATTAGTTTTAATCAAAAAAATTTGCTCAGACGTTTTTTTTTAACATTCTCTTTAATATGAACACAACATGTCTTGGGACTTGGTAGTCCCTTTAAACTATAATTTTTTTTGAAACTTCATCTTTTTTGGATGGGTAATTACTTGAAAAGATTAAAAGCACATGTATTGCAAAAGTATTTAAATTAGTCTTTACCAAAGACTTTTTAGAAATCCGAAAAAATTAAGAGTTAAAAGAAATATCTGGAATTCCATATATGTCCGGAAAAAGATAATCTCTATATTTAGGGGCAATTTTAAAACATAATAAGTTTATTCAAAACTTACACATATAAATTTATCTAATAATAAAAATTATATTATAAAACTAGAACAAAAATATGAATATATGAAAAAAGATTTTTTTTTAAAGTATTTTCAACAAAAACAAAAAAACTAAATTTTAAAGTATTTTAAATAATATATTAAAAACTTCTTTTTGAATATAATGTTATTAAAGACAGTCATCAATTTAAAATCACTTCGGCTATTTGAAAAGTTACAAGAGAGGAGCCTGGAAATCATAGAAAATAGTCATAAAAATTTAAAACTGTTAAACATATCTTTTATTTAACATTTATATGATAAAAAAAGTACAAAAGATAAATATACTACTCAAGGCTTGCCTTGAACTTTTATTTTTTAAATTCATATGACCTTTTCTTTTAATTAATTTTTTAAAACTAAATATACGTTTTTTATATTTTATATATATTTATATATATGCAATTTTATAATACATTTTTAAAATTGCAGATATAAGTTGTACAGTTTAAGGTTTTAATACTTTTTAATATTAAATATGAAAACTTAACTACTTAAATTTGCACTTTTCTTAACCTGCTGAACTTCTTTCACCACACAATTGTTTCCATCGTCAGGGAGGATGTCTTGGCAGGCAAGATTAATGTTTTCTTGAGGTCAGACTTTGTTTTAAAGCGTTAAGTGTAGAGCGATTTTCATACACCTTATATAATTTTTATGTAAACAGGCAATTTCGGTTAAACAACTTTTTATCAATTTGCAACTTTTTATCAATTTTTAACTTTTAAATTAGACTATAAGCGGTAAGATAAAGAAGTAAATAATTTTAAAAAGAAGTCACATTAACTTATTAACTTACATAATATTTACTAATGAAAAAAACTCAAATAAAAATGAAAGTTCATTTTTATTTAATTGTAATGACTGATTTTTGAAGCTTGGAGCAAAGGTCATAAAAACTTAATTTAATTCTGGTAAAAAATATACAATTTAATTTAAAACTAATTTAATAAAAATATATAATTTAATTTTGATAAGAAAAATAATAATAATTTAATTTTGATTTAAAAAATATATTGAAGTTTATTAAGATTAAAGTTACTGTTTAACTGTCAAATATATTATAAAAAATTACTAAATATTGTTCAATTTATTCAATATTAATTTTATTTGTTCTTAAAAAAAATTCAGTTTACTTTTATCACAATTGTTTTTTCCGGTTTTCCTTCTTAAACATTTTTTTAAAACTCAAATGTAAATTTTAAATAAATGACTACATTAAAAGTTTGCTTAAAACGTAAGTTGAACTTTTTTTAAAACGCAAGTTAAATCGCAGCATTTATTTTTTAATAGAAGATATATTCAGCGATGTAATTTTAATACTAAAATAATTAACCTTTATTAAATTAAGTAAATAAACTAACATAATTTTTTTATTTAGTACTCTCTAATTTTTTTTTAAATAAAAAATCATTTGTCACAATTAGACATTTAAGAAATAGAGGAAAAATTTTAAAAACTCAAAAATTTAATATTTTTTAAATTCTTTTATGCAAATGTCAAGAAAAGAAAGAAATTAGTTAATACCAAACATTTAAAAAATGCAATATTAAATTTAATTATTTAATATTAAAGGGATCCCAAAGTACCAAGACAAGTTGTGCTCATATTATAAATAAACATTAGAAAATAAGTTAAAAGTTAATTACACTTTGCAAAACAAATTATTAAATGAGATATTAACCAAAAACTTTTTAATTTTTAGCGCCATTTTGTTTCTGGCAAAGGAAAGTTCCGGCTCTTTAACTATTTTTATTTTTTAAATCAGGTCTGATTAACACACTTATATTAGACATCAATACAAAAAGTTTCTTTCAAAAAACATAAATCAAGTTTAAATTTTTTCCCTAAAGGGGAAACCCCTGTAATTTTTTTCAGCTAATTCATTTTTTAAAAGATGCCCAAACATTAAATTTGTATTAAGCAACCTGGTATTTATCATTTACATTAAAACGCTGCAATTAATTATAAATTTAAATTTGTATTTCAGTATTTGCTTAGTTTTTAGTCTGATGGTTTTTATGAATTTCAAACCCCTATTAAATTTATTTTATAAAAACTTTAATGTAATAGTTTTTTTTAAGGAATAATATATACCAGTTAATTTTATTACACTATTAAGCTTGAGTTATGTTATGCTATTAAAAATGTTTACAAAAGTAATCATAGAAAAAGTTTAAAAAGATTTATCAAAAAATACATATTTATATAAATGTAATTATGTATAATATTCTTTGATAATTTAAATAAAATAAGTTTATTGTAAACAACCATTAGAGTTAATTTGTTATAATTTATTAAAGCAATAAGTAAACATAAAATCTGTGTATCTAATATATTTATAATAATTTGCATAGCATTTTGTATTGTTTAGTATATTTATAAAAACAAAATATAAATACATCTTCCTTTTCGAATTTTAGTTTTTTGAGCTTTGATTTTTTTTTTTAAAGAATTTCTTTTTTTAGACACCATCTTTTAAATATACATTTTACTTTTAGCGAACTTTTGAAAGGCTCCAAGTTGTCAAAACAAACTGTGGTCGTGTTTTTTTTATTGAACATGTCTGCCAAACTTGAATTTTTATTGGACAAATATATATATATATATATATATATATATATATATATATATATATATATATATACACACACACACACACGCACACACACATATATGTTTATATTATAAACATTAAAATGTCATTTAAGGTATCATACTATTTATTTCTTTTTTTTACATGATATTTCGGCTCATATAGTTAGAGCCATTATCAAACTAATAAAACCATTTAAGAAATTATAATGAATGTAACCAAATGATGTCAGTGCAACATCAGATATTAAACATTTTTCAAAAAATGATTTACAAAAAATACTAAAAATCTAATTATTCTAGTTTGAGTTTCAAAATTAAGCCTTGTTCTTAGAAGAGAATTAGAGAGAAAAGAGTTGGCATTAATACAGTCTTCCGTTTTGATAATCCCTTCATCAATATAAATTTGCTAAATGAATATGAATATATATATATATATATATATATATATATATATATATATATATATATATATATATATATATATAATTATATTATTATTATTATTATACAATTACTAAATAAAAAGCTAGCAATATGACGAAAAAAAGTTTTTTTAATTAAATTTCTTTTATGATTACTTTTTTAAGTTTTTTTTTGTTTTTTGCTGAACACTTTTTTGATGGAAAAGTTACATTAATAAAAATTTCTTTGTTTTTTCTCAACTTATTACATTTGTCAATAGCGCCTAGTAATGTATCTATGACAAAGGGCGATTGAGGCTAATGATAGGGTTTAATGTATGTTATATAAGGTAATATCTCAATATTAGGTTTGCAATTAGCATATATAAGACTATGCACCAGTTTGGTTTCGCTTATTAGCCAATGCAGATTAATCAATACCATCGGCCAATGGTCATCCTGATTAATTGGCTGCTAGTTACCAATAGCATAGGCTAGTAGGTTGAGTCACTGTGGATGTGTAGGTATATGTTATATATGTAACTTACATTCTGAATATTTTTATAATATCCTTACATTAAACCTATTATCAGCCACAATCGACCTTTGCCATCGATACATCACTAATAGAACTAATATCAAATGTATTTGTCATTCAAACTTTTTTACATAATCATTATTCAAACTTTATAGGTGGTTTTTTTAAAGTTAATAACTTTTATCTTACCAGTTAAACATATTTAGATTTGTGTAAATATTAAAAATTGATAAAAAGTGCCCAGACTGCAATGGCTTTATTAAAGCACAAAGGTGCTGTTAACTTTTTCATATTCTTGGTATGTACAAAAAGAAGTGTGTGCATACATTTATCAAAAACACAATCATTTTAATAAAATTTTTTACAGAAAAAATAAATAAAAAAATAACACACCTTTTGGCGGAGACTGGGGAAAGTCTTTTCCAAGTACTAATTTCATTTTAAACAACCCTCCTTCATATGGTGTATCGCCTATTAAATCAAACATTAACGATACAAGCAAAATCAACTAAATAAGGTTTATATTTTAATTAAAAACTGAAAATATTTAATAATCTTTAAATTAAAATAGTATTCGAATAAAATATTATAACAACCAGATTACTATAATAATTTGTATAATCATATATTTGCTGTAACACAAAAAATTTTTAGTTTAAAAAACTTAATGATTTTAAATGTACAACATATTCTAGCAAAGTGATTCAACACTTATTCTGCAGTATCAATATTTATAGCATCAATATCTATAATACTATCTATACCTATATATATCTTTAAAGGGACTACCAAGTCCCGAGACATGTTGTGTTCATATTAAAGAGAATGTTAAAAAAAAAACATCTGAGCAAATTTTTTTTGATTAAAACTAATTAACAAATGTATACCAAGAAAAACAAATCTTGTTGTTTTAGTCGAAGCTTGACTTCTCCATTTTCTGCAATATTTTGAGTATGTAAAACAAACACAATTTTCCAGATGCATTATACAGACTTGATAATTTATTCAAGCACATTTAATTCATAGGAGTTTTAGTGCATGGCGTCATAGATTTTTTTTTGTTTGTTTAAAACACCGATTGTTATTTTTTACATACAATTTCCAAATCATATTCATTTTTATTATATTTTAAAGTTCTAAAATGTGTTTGTAAAAAAATTAAAAACAAAATAGTATTTTATTTGCGCAATTTTTTTTAAATAATCATCTAGACCAAGTTTTTATTTTGATTTCTTTTGTTATAAGTTTTTCTTTCAAAATATTAAATAAAATAATTTTTAATCTAAATAATAATGCATTTTTATTAATTTACTTAATATTAAATATTAAATAATAGTAAATATTAAAAAAAAATTATTAACGCATTTTTTCTCTGATTTTCAAAAATGTATTTTTTGATATTGAGGTGATCTTATTTCATTATTTATATTTCCTTTATTATAACATGCAATATATATTATGACGGGGGTTTAAAAATTAAAAAATTAATATATATTAATTTTTATTTTACGGAAACATAATTAACTTGAATGTTTTTAAAACATCTTGCAGATAAATAAAAATATTTATATTTTTATTTATCCACAAATATTCGTGAACACTAAAAACCCGCCAAATTTGCGAACAAACTAATTCTATTGGTTCAAAAAATACACTGACTAAGCGAAATAAAGTTCTAGAGTATTCTGTTGAAATGTTTTAGGAATTGTATCATTTACGATTTGTTGCGTTTTGAAATATCTAGCATAAATTTTTTTAAGAATATATTATCAAATAAACTATTACTTTAATATTATGGCTCATTCTCGGAACCACATCTGTAAAGCCGTAAATCTTTTAAACTATTATCATTTGTTTACAAAAATAAATGTTTTATAATATATATTTTTTAAATTGTCAAAATTTTGAAAGTTAATTACAAATTATATATTTTATTAGTATATTCTTAATTTTTAAACCTTTTCTTAATGCTTGGTTTAATTAATTGTTCGTTAGATTTGTAAAAAACTAACGAACAATTAATAAAATAAACTTAATAAAATAAGTCAAGATAATATAATTATCTTAACTTATTTTATTAAGTTTATTTTATTAATTATTTTATTAAGTAAGATTCATATAATTTGCAATCATTTAAGTCATCAGTCAATCGCTATCTTGCTCTACAGATTTAGTCTTTTCTCTTCCAGTAACTTCCAACTCTTATAGTGGTTGCTTGCAGCCTTGTTGGAAGTGAAGATGTTAAAAAAAAAAAAAAAAAAAGTAACTATAGTTAGCTATTTTAGTAAAATTTAATAGTAAAATTTTAAAAAGAATTTCTAGAATGCTTTCAATGATGTCATGCACTAAAACTCCTATGAGTTAAACGCGGTTGATTATTATGTCTGTATAATGCGTTTATTTTACATACTCAAAATACCACAGAAATGGAGAAGATGAGCTTGGACTAAAACAACAAGATTTGTTTTTCTTGGTATACATTTATCAAATAGTTTTGATCAAAAAAAATTTGCTTAGACGTTTTTTTTAAACATTCTCTTTAATATGAATACAACATGTCTCGGGACTTGGTAGTCCCTTTAATATTGCATATTTTGCTTTGCAATATTTCATATTGAAATAAATAGCTGCAAGAGCTTCAGTAAATGTATAAACTATATTGATAGAACAGGCAATGAAGTGCGACTACAATTTAATAATATTTAGTATAAACAAATCTCTTTTTTTTTTTTAATTTGTACAAATGATTTATAATATGTAAAATTTATTATTTATAACGATAATAAAATGCATAATTGTTTTTTTACAACTAATAATGATTATTTGTTTTTAAAAAGCTAGTAACAAATAAAAAAAGTAATAACTTAATTTATAATTTGCCGATAATATAATATTTGAAATTTACAATAATTTGGTGACCTCAACTTTTTTAGAGGTCAGCAAAAAAAAAAAAGAAAAAAAGAAAAAAAAATTGATACTAAGGTCTTACCATAAAACAAACGAGGTAGGCAATTATTTGCTGACCTCAAACACCTTTAGGTCGGCAGTTATGTCAGCATTGTCAAAATCCAACACTAATTTGGAGGGCTCCTGATATAGTTCAAGCTTTGTCAATTTTACTACTCCCATCTTGTTTCATACAGTCCTCAAAGTGGGGCAGAATGACATCCAATCACCTTTTTATAAAGTCACCTTTTTTATATCTCTATATATAACTATAATTAGGTGAGATGGTATTTTTAATTTACCAAATACCATCCCTTTACTTTTTTTTCTCCACTTTGTACAGTGTATGTGTGTGTGTGTGTGTATATGTGTGTGTATATATATATATATATATATATATATATATATATATATATATATATATATATATATATATATATATATATATATATAAATTATGTTAGTGTATTCTACAAATAGAATGCTCAATGTTCTTAAAGAACAGAGCAATAATAAATTAGTAAAAACACTTCCTGGAAGAAAGCTTCCTGATGATCCTACTGATGGAGAAACAAGTTGTAGAAGAAAATAAAAATTAAATGTGTTTTTACTAATTTATATATATATTTTAGGTATATGACTAGAAAAAATATTTGGAATTTTTTATTGCCCCTATTGTTATAAGTGGAAATTTATCATTTCTTTCAAGAATGTACCATTAAAAAATTGTAACCTTGAAAAAAAGTCACTCTCCAAACTGATTTTAATTTTACATATAGGCTGCCCTATCCAAATGCTGAGCTTTGTAATAATGTACGTTACTTCTATATATTCCTATAACTATTTTTTATATAGTAAATTTTATATTTATTAGTAATCTAATATTTAGATTCCAATAACCTGTTTCTTCTGGCACCAACACAGCATTTAACTGATTGTTTACTATATTGAGAATTACAACTTAGGAACTACAATGTCTAAAAATGCGCCTCCTTCAGAGAAGAATAAGGAGATTTGGTTTTCAAATCTAATGCAATTTCAAAAGTGCAAAAAGTCAAGAAAATATACTACCATTGACAGTCTTGATCAGATGCGAAGAATTCCAATGGAGCGGAATATCTTCGACAGATTTAAAACTCTGGCTTCTGATATAAAATGTAGAAAAGAGAGAATTGTAATGATAGCAGATGAAGTTAAAGGCCTATGGAATAATTTGAATATGCCAATTCAACAAGGTGCAACAAGGTACGGTTGCACGAAAAGTTGAGAATGTAATAAAAACTTATAAAAAGCATGCTCGAAGACCTGGAAACAATGATTTTAGTAAATTGTTTAATGTAACAGACGAAAAAGAACAATAGTTGTGTAGAGAAGACAGGGAGTTTTAAGAACTGCAGGTTTCAACAAAAGGGAAAGTAAGATATTGCACCACAAAAGAAGACACACAGGAGATACATCCAAGATAAGTGAAGATGCTTAAGAGAAGAGTGTCATTCATACAAGAGTCTATTTAAGAAAATAGTAAAGAAGATTTGAAAACAGTTATAGAAACAGAAATATTTATGAGTGAAGAACAAAGTTATAGTAGCAATGAAAATTATGCGAAACCTTCTTCCAATAAAAGGCAAAGAATTAATTCTGCAGTATTTTTGGTAACTGCAACAAAAATGAGTACAAGGAAGGTCTACAAAGTATGTGAAACTTTGTCCAAAAGCGGAGTTTCAATACCTATTCCAACTCAGAGTGGCATCTACAAAGTAATAAAAGAAGGAGAAAAGCTAAAAAGAAATTTCAAGGAAAATTTTAAAAATGAACACTGGTGTTTACACTTTAATGGTAAGAATATACAGAAGGAATATCAGGTAGTTGTTTTGAAAAATGAAACTAGGGAAGTCAGACTTGCTGTCCTTCAATTGACAAATGGAAAAGGTGAGACATTATTCAATGGAATAAAAACTGTGCTTGACGAATATGAACTATGGCCCTCAATAAAAACGATTGTTTCTGATACAACAGCAGCTAATACTGGAAAAAATCTGGGAGCTGACACACTGTTGCAGAAGCACTTTGAAGATATTGGATTAGAAAAACCTGTGGAGCCTACGCCTATAGCAACCCAGCGTTTAAATATCTGTGTCGAGCGTGCCATTAAAGTAATGCAAGACCTGCTTCCACTCGACTGAAAAGTTGAATGTTAAATTTTTTTTAAGTAATGAACATAAGAAAAACACTGGTAGATTTATTTATCGGTGATGTATTGTAAAACGTTATTGTAAAATGATGCAACATTTATGTGAATATACTTACATGTTATACCTTAGACACATCATTTTCTCATTTGGAGGGTGAACTTTTTTTAAGCAAAAAGAAAAATACTTATTCGTTATTTGTACACAAAACCTCCACTAATTACCATATGGGCATATAGGGTTATGAAATTGTCATATCCCTAATATATATGTATATATACATGTATATGTATATATATATACATGTATATGTATATATACATGTATATACATACATATATATATATATATAATTTATGCATATTCATGCGGTAATGGTGTAGTGGTAGTGCGCTTGCCTCATAAGTAAGTAATTCCGAGTTTGATCCCTATATATATATATATAT